TAGGTCCATCAATGGCTATTAGCCAGGATGGGTAGAAATGGTGTCCCTAGCTTTTGTTTGTCACAGGCTGAAAATGGATGACAGGAGAGAGATCACTTGAGGATTACCTGTTCTGTTCACTCCCTCTGGGGCATCTGGCATTGGCCACTGTTGGAAAACAAGATACTGGTACAGATGGACCTTTGGTCTGACCCAGTATGGCTGGTCTTATGTACTTATATTCTTATGAATGGAAGCCAGGAAATCCAGAGCTGCAGTCCCAGCATGTATTGCTAACTGACCTTTGTGACTTTCGATAAACCAATTGAGTTTTTTATCTCAGGTTCCTATCCATAAAATGGAGTAAATCTCACCTATTTCAAAAGGGCATAGGTATGAGAAGTTAGTTTTTTCACTGGAATTTTAATTTTTTTTTAATTGTGCTTTTTCAGGGAAAAAATCCCTGAGGGAACGTGAAACATAGCACAAGCCATTTGGGGAATGTGAAAAACGTCCCATCAGCCACCTCTTTAATTCCCAGCACTCCTGGGGCTTCTGGCTTAGTTCCGCACCATTTGAAATAGACAGTCCTTGCTGCTCACTTTAGCATCTGCTGTGAGAAATCATGGATCCAGACTTCTCTCCCATGTTGTATTCAGTGATAGAAATGTAGCCGTGTTAGTCTGGTGCAGCTGAAACAAAATACAGGACTATGTAGCACTTTAAAGACTAACAAGATGGTTTATTATCATCATCTAATAAACCATCTTGTTAGTCTTTAAAGTGCTACATAGTCCTGTTTTTTGTTTCATGTTGTATTCAATGTGCTTAGGACATCACACATTGTAGCAGAGCTACTTATGAACTTGGTATCAGTGGAAGAAGACTCGGATGCGGACAACAACATGAATGACAGGGACCGCAGCAAAATGGCATTCATTTGGCTATCACAGAGCAGCTGTGCAGAACAGAGCATTGCTTTTGGGATAGGGAAACCACTAAGTGGCAGGATCACATTGTCGTGCAGGTGTGGGATGAAGAGCAGTGGTTATAGAAATTTCAGATGGGTAAAGCAGCCTTCCTGGACCTGAGCTGGCCCCTGAACTGTGGCGTGAGAACACCTGCATGAGAGCTGACCTCCAGGTAGAGAAACCTGTAATGATTGCTTTGTGGAAGCTGGCATCTCCCAGTTGCTACTGTTTAGTTGCAAATCAGCTTGGAGTGGGGAATTCTACCATTGGGGCAGCATTTATGCAAGTGTGCAGGGCAATAAATCACATTTTGCTATGTAGGACTGTGACTGGGAAATGTGGATGACATAGTGGCTGGCTTTACTGAAATGGGCTTTCCAAACTTTAGTGGGGCAATCGATGGCACACACGTTCCTAGTGTAGTGCCACCTCACCTTGCCACAGAACGCATCAATCAGAAGGGGTTCTTCTCAATGGCACTTCGGGCACTTGTGGCTCACCAAAGGCGTTTCACAGACATACATGCAGGGTAGACAGGAAAGGTAGGGTGCATCTTCAGGAACAGTGGCATGTACGAGGGATATAAAAATGAGGTTTAAAATGCAAGCGTATAACCGGTAAAATCATAATGGTTATTTGTGCCGCAGGCTCTGCAGTAAGATTTAAGTTGATCTGGTGTAAATAACTGGTTTCTTGGGATTGGAAGTAACTTGAATATTTTGTTATTTGGGGGAGGGAAGTAAGTAACCATTTATCACTATGTCCAGCTTGCCTGGACAGCAAGATAGACTGGAGAGCGCAAAGATGCCTCCGTAGTAAGACTGATACAGTGATCTAACAGTTCACAGTTGTTACTTGGTTGTGGAAATCTAATTATAGAACCTAGCACCATGTTGAGGTGTCTAGTCTGTTTTTCAATAGTTTGCCCTGAGGGAGGCAATCATGGTTGTAAATCATTCTAGACAGTGTGACAGGTATAATGTCTCCTGGCTGCTTGTTTCATGTGTGTATCAGGCAGGATCCAACTTTGAAGGAAGTACCTTTTTCAAACCTTGGCCACATGTTATAGAAGGAAAAAAAATCTTAGCACATCCTTCCATTGAGCCAAAAAAGAAAGACAGAAATCATAACCCCCAGTTTGAGAACCCAACTTGACATCAAGCCCCATACACAAATACAGAATGTCAACCAAAATAATCAGTGATGAATTAGGCTATGTCTAGACTACAGGCTTCTTGTGCAAGAAGCTTTTTGCGGAAGAGATCTTACGAAAAAACTTCTTGCACAAGAAAGCGCCCACAGCTGCAGACAGAGCAGTGGTGAATTAATTAATGGCTTTAAATCCTTAAGTATTTTAACATGATGTCCTAGAATGTGATAAACAATTTATTTTACAAAATGTGCTGTGCTTTTTCCTCTTTCTTTTTCTTGTCTCTTCTCTGTCCGCACACCCCTTTACCCAAAAGAACTCTTTCGGAAATCCTCGTAGAATGAGGAATACCTATACCGGGAAAACTCCTCTGTTCTTTCATTTTACTTGTGCAAAAATGTGCTTAAGGTGTGGACGTTCCACGAGCTTTTGCGCAAAAACAGGAATTTTTGTGCAAAAACTCTGTAGTATAGACCTAGCCTTAGTTTTGACATTTAAAACAGTCATTATTGGATATCAGGGTCAACACATTTAGATCAATAGGGGCAATTCACACCTGTGGTTTCTCAATCCCTGCCATAAGACAGCTCTGCATCAACTCCTATTATAAATATCAGCTGTGCAATATAAAAGACTTTTTAAAAATGAAAACCTGTATTTTTGTAGCAACGGATGTTGCTGCTAGAGGAGCGGTAAGTCGGGCTCAGTCTGCTCCACAGTGTCAGAGAAGCCATTCCTAAAAGAAAAGCTGGATATGAACACACAATTCAGTCTTTGTTCCACTCTCCCCAACCAGAGCTCACAAGTGCTTAACTGTAATTTGAATTCTAGAAGAGAAATCTGCCCCCCTAGAAACTTCTGGGCCCCCAACTGCTGTATTTTTTTCATGAACCATTAAAACCCTTTTGTACAACCACTTTGACTCTGCTCCTGAGTGCTCTAATGGCAAACATTACTGATAAATACTGTATTACTTAATGATAAATTAGCAGCATTTGGCACTGGCAGTACAGTATGTACGGTACTAAAACAGCATTAGAGAAGTATAGGAAAATGTGTTCCACACACTGCAGTAGAAATTAGGGACAATTAATGGATGTTGGCAGTGTTGCACATTGGCAAAGTACCATTTCAAGCATTGCTCAGTGACTTGCTACTAGATGCTGAAGCATTTTTTCCTGTACACTGAAAGCTAAGTTTTACTACAAACTAATATTTGAATCAGACACACATATACACTCTAATGCCATAATGCATCTACAATTTTTCAGTAGTTAGCATACACAGCAGGGGTTTTGGTTACCTTCCTGTGTGCTGTGGTAAAAATAACAAGGTTGACTGATTTTTGGCTCACTTAAAATGCTACCGTGCCTCAGACTGTCACATTCTTCTAATATCTAAAGGAAGTTTGGTGTTGGAGATGCACACAAGGAGCTTCTTTGGTGCCTCAGGTGAGGAGCATCTTTGGCATCTCCTTCCATCTGTTAAACTTTTGTATCTCTCATTTTTATTGCATTTGTAGCCCAGTTCTCACCTTTGCCACGCAACTTGAATGCATCATTTATCCCTGTCATATAAGATGATAAATTTCCCTTTTTTCACTAACAAGACAGCATCCCATGCCTAGCGCCTCCTCAAGCCTGGCACCCCCCGGCCCTAAATCCAACCCAGAGAACAATTGTCAGGTAATTTAGGTCCAACATGGGTTTTATTAACTTGAACCCACAACCCCAAGCCCTGGAGGCTGATGCCTTAGCCATTAGGCCTCTGGAGGACCTACTGCATCTTACTATCACGCAACACTAGAAACATTTGTTTGAAAATACCTTCTCGGGGCAAAAGTGGTCAGAAGCAAGTAAGGTGAGTTGTATTAAGAAAGACAGAATAATGCTGCTGACTATTACATTGCATGTTTCCAAATCAGTTATATTCATTTTGGTCAGCACTAGCTCAAAGAGGAGGAAGCAGAAATAACAAAGCCCAGAGAAACATAATTCTAACTACAAATGATAAAGAAATCTCTTTTCTCCTCAGGCTAGATCAATATTTTCATGCTTCTTGGCCAAACCAGCCATTACTAAATTCCTGTCCTGATCAGCCCTCTTTTAAAATAAACAAATAAAAACATGCCCTCTTTGCACATGTTTTTGTTAATTTTAATAAAAATATCTTGTCCACAAGCTGCCTTCAGTGGGATTTTTTCAGGACAAGTTTGGCAGCTGTGCAGTGGCAATATTTTTGACTAGGGATGAGAGGGAAGGGAGACGTTCTTGTGGCTGAGAGGTCAAGTCTACAAAACAGAGTTATTTGCAATTTCCTACATGGAAAAAAATAAAACCCAAAAAACAACAAAAACTGTCTTTTAAAAGTGTCCTCACGCACCAAGCTGAGACGCTAACACATGTAGAAATGGTTAGCTGAGTATACAGAGGATATAGACACAAATAGTACAAGGAAAACTCCACCACCTAACAGTAGAGCTCAAACAATTTGTAACTATTGGTATGTCAACACAACAGCATTATTTCAGAATAACATTAATTATTGTTAGTTATTATTATTTAACTAATGTTATTCTGAAATAACATAATCTGCGTCTACACAGAAGCAGTTATTTCGACATAATGTCAAAATAATGTCCAGCCAGAGGACTTCTTTCTCCCACTCCTGTAACCCTCATTTTATGAGGATTAAGGGAAATTGGAGGAAGAGTGCTCTCTCTCAGATTTAGACAGCACCAAAAAGCTGAAATTAGCTATTTCAACTTAAGCCCACAATTGACATAGCTCAAGTTGAGTAGCTTATTTCAGATTTAGTTCTGGTGTGTGGACATACCCTAAGTTATTTATATAGAAGCACACATGTGAGTTTGCATGTAGCTATTAGTCACTTATTTTACTGAGACATTTTGTCATAAACTACAAATAGCTCACCTATGATTACTTACTTTTGTTCTTTCTTTCCCTTTCCTTTGTTATATTTGCATCTTGCCTTTTCTTCCTCCATCATCTTCATTCTCATTCCATCCTTCTTAGTTTCACTATCTTCCTCACACCCTTTGCCTCAACCTCTCAGCCACAAGAACTTCTTCCTTTCCTCTCATCCCTAACCAGTCTCATCAAACTCTCCTCACTTTCCCCTTAACTCTCAAATGGCCTGAATTTCACAGATCATCATTAATCTGAATGGGTTTGGGGGGCATTTCCTGCCACAAAGCAAAATTCTCTCATATCTGTTGTTCAAGAGTCACTGCTTTTGTATTTTCAGAAAAGAAGCTGGTAACTCACATAATCCTCTTCACTGGCCAAACACTTGCAATGCCCACTGCAGGAATTCTCTCCCCCACTTCCTGAGAAAAACATCAGGCTCACATTTCTGGGAAGGAATAGGAGTTCTCTGCCCTCTCTCCCTCCTGTGGCATAAAGGTGACAGTATATTCCATGTCTAGATAGCAATGCACATTAACCTGATATATTGTTAAAAATAAAGCAAGCTTGCCAATTTTTCTATGAGATAGTAGACAATGATGTGTCCCTACCACTGGAGCTAAATGCAGTGCCTACCAAAAGAAACAAAATCCTTTAGTGCCATCTAGAGGAAAATTACAAATTAGCAGATCTAGAATTCTGCATGCTATAGGAGACAAACTGTTATACCCAGGAAAATTTTCTATAGTAATGTTTAACCTTAATCTGTAATACAAAAATAAGCCTCACCGCAGAATGATGTAATTGTACACTTGGAATCCAGGTATACATGAGCTTTCTTCCTTCATGTGTTTGTACTAAATCTAAAAAAGATTCTCAATAGTAAAATTTAAAGTGAATGTGTAGAACAGAATTAAGTATCATTTCACTTAAATAATCCTCACTTTCACCAGAGTTATTCAGTCACCATCTCTCTCCACCCTTGGTGGAGGGGTGTCAAAGGAAGAGTGGGCATCAGGTGGGGAGGTTGATCAGCAGAGCAGTCTTTTTCTTCCTTGGATGCCTGGTGGAGTAGAGCGCACATCCTACTGCTGCACACATTTAATACAAAACAGGATATTCTTGAATAAATAAAAGACCTAACAATGTGATAGCTACCAAGAACCACCCTTCAATCCAAACCCCTTGTCTATTTGAACAGGGACTAAGGGACCTCTTCTCAAATTTTATCATCTCTAGATCTTAAGAGACAGTGTAGTGAGAGACAAAGCTCTGATGTAATGACCAGGTTGCCACTTTGCAAATAGGTAATATTGGAAGGTGAGCCGGAAAAGCCCATAGAAGTTGTTTTGGACCTAATCTAATAACTCGGTACTCTCTCTGGTGGCTTCATGTTAGACAACTGGTCTATAGGTGGATACAGCTGGATGGCAAAGATGATATCCTTTGAGTACAAAACGGGACTGCCCTTCATTCTGTCCACAAGCGCAATGAGCAATGGAGTCAAAGACCTGAAAGGTTTAATCCATGCCTGATAAAATTCAAATGCTTTTCTAAGTTCAGAGGGTGCATTCTCACCTCAATCTTGTAACCATGAGGACTAGGAAGAGGGTTGGCAAAAAGATTGCTTGGTTAATATGAAAAGTGGAAACCACCTTTGAAGTTAGACTTTGCCTTCATAGAAAAATATACTTGGGGGATCTTATACTAACCGGGTGCCTCATCTGCACCCGGTCAAAATAAGTTTATTTTGAGTCAATTTTGAAATAGCTTATTTTGAAATTTGGCGCTGTCTGCACAGCACTTATTTTGAAATAAATTGCTATTCCAAAGTGTCCTTTATGCCTAATGGAATTAGGTTTACAGGGATGTTGGAATAGAGAACCCATTATATTTCGAAATAACAGGCGTGCTCAAAAGACGCGGAATAGCTATTTCAGGATACCTCCGGTATCCTGAAATAGTACTGCAGTATAGATGTAGCCTCAGCGCCCCATCTCCTGGGCAATATAAAGGCTACCAAAACCGTTTTTGAAAGGTGCAAAGAGAGCAGTTGCTAGATGCTCAATGGGGGCACATTAGCTATGTTGACTAGATTCCGTCTCCATGGAGAATAGAGGATTGCTATGTGTGGAATAGTTTGCTCAAGCCCTTTAAAAATCATACAGCTATACATAGAGAACAGTTATCCACAAGTAGATGGAAAGCTGGATGTCAGGTGTTTTTTGATCTACCTAATCACCAATCCTTCATATTTCAAGGACAGAAGATAGTTCAGCATGTGCTGATTAGAAGCAATGGCCAGCCAAATTCCTTTCAGTCTGGACCAGATGGAAAACCTCTTCTATTAGCCAGGTAAGTAGTTCTTGTTGATGGTTTTCTACTATGCAGAATAGGTTCTGATCTTTTCTAGAGCAGGTCTCCGCCGCTGATGTTAATCATGGAGCATCCAGGCCATCGGGTGAAGGGCCTGAATACTGGGGTGAAGAAGGCAACCACACTTCTGTGAAATCAAGTCAGCATGAAGCAGAAATGGCAGAGAGAGACCTGCCTGAAAGGCCTGAGCCCTGAAAACTCTGCTGACGAGTCATGCTGGGGTTCTCTGTATAATGTGGGCCTTGTCCTACTTCACCTTGCATACAACTCTGGGCAGAAGAGAGATGGTGACCCTACCCTTTATTATTCACACATAGTGTGTGAGGCAGCAGAGAACTCTCATGCTGCCCCAACTGATACCACCAAGTGAAAAAGCAGTCCAACAGCTGTGCACTAGGGTGCTCTTAACACTTACTGTAGAGTAGACATGTGCAATCAGTAGAAGAATTCCTCATTACTTGACCACTCCTCCTCCTGTTCTCTACCATCCCATACTTCCCTTGCCTTACTATTAAAGGGACATCATCAGTTTGAATTTGAGCCAGGTAAAAAGTAGTCTGAAATCTTATATAAGTGTTTTTCTTTCTCTCTTTGTCCCTGCATGCCCCTTTCAAGGGTGCACCCCACAGTTTAGGGACTATTGTTTTAAGATACAGGTTGGACCTCCCTGGTCCAGCACAGCCTGGTCCCGGGTGAGGGATTTTGCCAGACCAGGGCAGGTCATTTTTGGACCCCTGCCACCAGCCCCCCTGGCCTGGCCGCTGGCCTCCAAGCCAGCTCCCCACCTCCTGTTGGCCCCACTGCCCTTCCAATCTACTGGACAGCCATCACTGCTGTGCTGGGCTCCGGACAATCACATGTGACATGGTTTCCTGAGCAGCTGTGCATGCCAGAGCTTCCTGAGCAGCCATGTGCACCATGCTGGGGCTCTGTGAGCAGCCCCCACATGTCACGTACCAGAGCTCCCTGGGCAGCCACATGCACCAGGGCTCCCAACCTCACTGGGCAACCCCACTGCCACACGCTGGGTGGCCCTGACATCAGCTTCCTGAAGGCAGCCCACTGTGCTGCTGGCTCGCCAGGGATCTTTACTGATGACCCTTCACTGAGACTCTCTGGTCCTGCAACATCCATGCTGGACCATGGATATTGCTAGACCAGATGATCCCAGTTAAGAGAGTTTTAAACTTGTACATGCAAAACACTGTCAAATCCATAAAACAAACACAAAGAAAATATGAACTAGTTTCTCCTTTGGAGGAGAGGGGGACACTTGAATTATTCTCCTGTATAGTTTGGAAGGAGAGCCCGATCTCTGGTCCTGCAACATCCATGCTGGACCATGGATATTGCTAGACCAGATGATCCCAGTTAAGAGAGTTTTAAACTTGTACATGCAAAACACTGTCAAATCCATAAAACAAACACAAAGAAAATATGAACTAGTTTCTCCTTTGGAGGAGAGGGGGACACTTGAATTATTCTCCTGTATAGTTTGGAAGGAGAGCCCGAATACTGTTTGTGTATGTGAGCAGCACCCAGAGAGCAATCTAGGGAAGGAAAGCAATCTGAGGATGCTGAATGAAAAGCCTAGTGCTGATGAGGGAATAAAGTTGTGTATAATAGAGAGCAAGTGAGCATGTAGGTGAATCATTACAGCTGGACAGGATGACAATGCAGAAAAATACAGTGGAATCCACAGGCCTGAACTTAATTGCCATCCATGGGAGAGAGGTAGCCCAGGAACTAGATGTGAAAAAACTTATAAGATTCAAGTACCCTAGCACCCTTTCTGTTAGGTTGCCTGCATGAATCCCTTTTCTTTACCGTAACTGTTCAAGCTGCTGTAAAATTTTCTGACAATTCCAGTGGAATATTCTCTGTTACTTACCAGATGTGTGAGTTTAAAAAGAACACACCAAGGGTATGTCTACACTACCCCGCTAGTTCGAACTAGCGGGGTAATGTAGGCATACCGCACTTGCAAATGAAGCCCGGGATTTGAATTTCCCGGGCTTCATTTGCATAAACTGGGCGCCGCCATTTTTAAATCCCTGCTCATTCGAACCCCGTGCCGCGCGGCTACACGCGGCACGAACTAGGTAGTTCGGACTAGGCTTCTTAGGCTCGGACTAGGCTCGTGGAATGAGGAGTAACGGTAGTTCGGACGAGGAAGCCTAGTCTGAACTACCTAGTTCGTGCCGCGTGTAGCCGCGCGGCACGGGGTTCAAACGAGCAGGGATTTAAAAATGGCAGCGCCCAGTTTATGCAAATGACGCCCGGGAAATTCAAATCCCGGGCTTCATTTGCAAGTGCGGTATGCCTACATTACCCTCCTAGTTCGAACTAGAAGGGTAGTGTAGACATACCCCAAAGGATGAAATTTTCAGAGACTTCTGTTTGCCTCTGAGTTTGCTGTACATGGACTATGGTATCAAGTATGTAAAAAAGACAGTGTACCATACTATTTTCAGTGATGCTGCATAGTGGGGCTGGTTAACCAAAGTCTGGAGTGCCCTCCTCTAGCTGCAAACCTTGAAAAAGTATAGCCTACCTTTTCTAGAAGAAAAAAAATGGAAAGGGTCAGAAGCTTTGGCTACGTCTACACTGCAGAGCTTTTGTGCAAAAACAGCTGTTTTGTGCAAAAACTCGCGGAGCGTCCACACTACAAGTGTGGTTTTGTACAAGAAAAAGTACAGTAGATCATCAGAGGACAGGGCTCTTTGTGCAAGAGCTCTTGTGCAAAAAGGCATGTGTGGATAGACAACGGGGATTTCTTGTGCAAGAAACCCCTGTTGGAAAAAGCACAACTTTCTTGTGCAAGAGCATCCATGGCTCTGTGGATGCTCTCTTTTGCAAAAGCAAATCTCTTGCGCAAAAGCACATGGCAGTATGCCTGCAGTGTAGACGTAGCCTTTGTATACCAGATTTTAGAAAAGTTTGGTAAGGTTACCTAAGTGAGAAAAAGGACAATGTATGTCTTGATGAAAGAGATGGAATACCATGCAGAACATGAAGGGGTTATTCACCTTTAGCAGTAGCTGACATTCTTCAAGATGAGCATCACTGTGGGTGCTCCAAAGCAGGTATTGCTCCACAGCAGCTGTTCCAGTGCCACAGACCGGATTCAACACAGCTGTGCCTGGGGGGGGACTACATGCATGTGTGGCAGGTAGGGCACACAGGCACTGCATGGCATGACCACGCATATGCAGCCACCCTCCCCTCAATTCCTTCTCTACCTGGAAACCTGGCATGATAAAAAGATCATCAAAGTAGAAGGGAGGAAGGGAAGGAAGTGGAACACCCTCAGGGAAGCTCATCTTGAAGAACATTAGTTACTGCTAAAGATGAGTAACTTCCTCTTTGAAAGAGAGAGAGAGAGAGAAAGAGAGAAAAACATCCCTGTGAGTGCTCCACAGCAGGTTACTGCAAAGCAACATGGAGGTAGGGACTTTGGATAGGATAAACAAGCTGTAGATCGGGATGGGCAATAATTTTTGACAGGAGGCCACTCTAAGATTTTGGAAAGTGGTTGAGGGCTGCACTTTTCCATGATATTAATGGAGGAGATGCGAGGTCTGGGATGGAGCAGGCAAGTGCAGAAGGGAGCTTGAGGTAAGGGACTGGGGTGCAGGAGGGAGAATGAAGTCTGGGAGAGAGTTTGGGTGAAGGAGGCAGTTGTGACCTAGGGCAGGGAACAGGTGCAGGGCTTTGGGATGTGACCTAGGGTAGGAGGGGATTGTGATCTTGGGTAGGAGATTATGGTGCCAGATCTGGGAGAAGTATGGGTGCATGTGGAGTAGCGGGGCAGGAGTGAGGGGAAGAGAGCTGGAGAAGGGAGGGGTTGGGGTGCCAGAAGCAGGTTCTAGCCAGGAGGCTTACCAGCCAGCAGCCAAACCAGCCTGCCTGCAAAGCTAAATGCTTGCAGCGCTTAAAATGTTTCAGCTTGCTTGGCTATGTACGTGAGTGAGTAACTGAGCAGAAGACCAGAAACTGGCCAATGGGATTGTGCTGAGGCAGAAGCAGCATCTGAATCTTCCCCCCTCTCTTCCAGAATCATAAAAAAAAAGTGCCCCGCAGCCATGTTTCTGAGCTGTGTGGGGGGCTGCAGAGCAAGCAGGAGAGCCTGTCTGGGGACTCCCCAGTGCCTCCATGGGCCAGATCCAATGGCTTAGTGGGCCGGATTTGGCCCACAGGCCATATTTTGCCCACCCCTGCCATAAACGGAACAGCCTTCACCACACTGGTGGATGAAAGAGGTCCCTGAGAAAGTATTTGCTGCGTGGAAAAGGTTTGGTCTGAGGTGCATGTAGCATCAGCACATACATCTTCAGTGGGGACCTTGTGGAGGTAAGCAATCGATGTGGCTACTGCCCTGGGGGAATGCACACGAATCGAAATAGGTGTGGCAAGTGGTTTTGGTGGTAACACATTTTAATGAAGTCTGAAATCCAGCATAATAGCCTTTGAGATGATATCCATTGTCCCTTGTTTCCTTCTACAACAGTGATAAAGAGTTTAGGGGACACACTGAAAAGCCTAGTTCTATGGAGATAAAAGGAAAGTGCCTATATACATCAAGGGTATGCCTTTGTGCTTTGAAGGTATTGGCATGAGGCTTGAGGAAAAAATGCAGGTGGATGAATAGTCTGGTGGATGTGAAAGGATGAGTGGACTTTGGGGAAGAACTTTGAGTGGGTGCGCAAAGACACTTAATCTTTGCTATTAGGGCAACCATCTCCCCTACCTAACGGGCCAATGTTATAACCATTAGGAATGCCATTTTCAGAGATAAGTGGAGGAGTGAGCTTGTAGCCATGTGTTTGAATGGCAGTTTTGTGAGAGTGTTTAGCAGCAAATGTAAGTCCCATGGCTTATGTGGAATGGTTACATCTGGGTATACCGTTTGTAGGTCTTTCAGGAATTGTTCAGTCATTGGACATGCAAAGACTGTAGTGTTATCAATTCTCATATGG